GGAGCCCCCTGAGTAAATGATTTTCCCATCAGCCAGCTCTGGATTTGGGCTATTCAGCAGGCCCTGACGGGAGCCACTTGCTGCACGGTGGGCTCCCCAGGCAGAGGGTCTGGGCCTGTCCTGCTCATCTCTCTCACCTTGGTGGCCAGCCCGGGGCTGGTCCCAGAAGCCACAATAAATATTTCCTGGATAAAAGATCTAATGCAGGGATTCCAAGGCAGGAGTGGGCGGTGGGGATGGACCCAGGGCCCCCCCGACCAGGATGCCTTTGGCACACAGCTGTCAGGCAGGTGAGCAGACCAGGTGGTGACCGGTCCCTGTACTGGGTGGTTCTGCAGACCCAGCCTGCACCCAAGAGACAGCTGGAGGCCAAGGAACACTTGGGGTAAAGGCCGGACCTGGACTGGGGGCAGAGGGGGCCCTATGGAGGATGTGGCCTTGACCTCTGCAGGGCAGGGCAGAGGGGGAGACCACCTTCAGGGCTCAGTGCTGGAACCAGAGCACCCCAGGTGCCTCCTCGTGGGCAGGGGCCCACCTCTCCTGGGGCAGCCAGGGGAGGACTGGAGGCCCCTCACCCACCAACAGAGGCTTGCTCTTACGGTTGTGTTCTGCCCCACAGGAGCCTCTCCCCACACATGCTGGGCCATCTGCAGCGGAAGGAGAAGGAGACAGTCCCACACAGTAGAATACAATTGGCAAGCAAACAAAACAAAATTGCACCCCTCAGTAAACCACGCTCTGTCCAGGCTACAAGCAGACCCTGTGCGCTGACAGGGTCACACATGCTCCTTCCAGTGTGAAGCCACGCAGTGATCAAGCGGCATTAAAATCACCATGACAGCAGACACTGATTTGCTTATATGCATTCTACATGTATTATCTCATTTAATTCTCAAACAGTCCTAGGAGACATATACTATTATGATCCCCACATTAGTAGGGGGGACAGCGGAGAGACAGAGAGGTGAAGCAACTTGCCCAATGTCACACAGCCAAGAAGTTGCTGGGACTCAAACCTTACTGCCCCATTAAGCCTCTTTTCTCTTTTATTTTCACACACACACATACAAACACAAATACACGCTCACACACATACACACACATACACAACCCACACTCACACTCATATACCATACACATATGCACACACACTCAAACATACACTCGCACACTCACATACACACACACATATACACTCAATGAACACTCACACACCTGCACGGCGTCCTACAGGCCTGGGCAAGGACACAGCACTCTGGGTGTCTGTTTTGAGGTCCCTTCCCCCAGGTGGGGAGGCTGCCCAGGATCAAGTTTACATGAGGTGAGGGTCACTAAAAGGGCATGATCTGAGGCCGCCGTTCTACTCCTGTTAGCTCCTGAGGTCAACAGGGCAGCCCCTCCTCTGGGCTGGAACATTAAAGGCATGACACCGAGTGACCCTGAGAAGAGCAGGGAGGGCAGGGTGATCAGGGCACCACAGTGAGGAATGACTGAGCTACCAAAGGGACCCAGAGGGTCCCTGCCTATACAGCCCAACCCCTCAACTCCACTCACAGGACAACCCACTCCCCACCTCCAGACCCAAAGGGTTCCTCCCCAGAAGAGTGGAAAAGCTGGAAGGGAGAAGGGCTACCAGCCATGATGCTTTCTGGAGTTCCAGACCCCAGAAGCCCTCTCATCTGGCTTTGGCCTCTCACCCCTCTTGCAGGCAGGACCCTCTTCTACCCGCACCTCCACGTCATCTCCACCTCCCACCTTATCCTTTCTAGCTGGTTTTCGTCAGTGAGGAGGGCTCTCTCTCCCAGGTGGCAGCTGGGGTGGATGTGGGGAATATCAGTTCTGGGAGGTTATTGTTAGGACAGTCACCATGGCAGCAAGCATCACATCTGCAGAGCCAAAAGTACTGCACATGGGGCTCATTCTCCCAGGAAAGCCACGGCCTCCCCTATCCCCCTTGCCTCCAGCGGTTGCTGTCATGGGAGGGATGTCACTGCCACCACCTCTCCCAGTCCTAGCCATCTGCCTGGAAGAGCAGGCTGCCATACCCCAGAGCAGGAAGACCCTAGTTCATCAATCTCCAATCACCTGGCCCTGACATGGCAGCCCATGCAGGACACTATGGCAGGCATGTGGGGAGATGATGGTAGTAGTGGTGGGGATGGTGATGATGGTGATGGTGATAATGATGGTGATGGTGATAATGATGGTGATGATGGTGGTGATGGTGATGGAGGCAATAGTGATGATGAATGATGGTGGTGATGGTGGTGGTGGTAATGATGGTGGTGATGGTGGTGGTGGTGATGGTGATAATGAGGTGATGGTGGTGATGGTGATGGAGGTGATAGTGGTGATGATGAATGATGGTGGTAATGATGGTGATGCTGGTGGTGATGGCAGTAATTGATGGTGATGATGGTGGTAATTGTCATAATGATGGTGATGGTGGTAATGGTGGTGATGGTGGTGGTGATGATAGTGATTGATGATGGTGGTGATGGTGATGGTCGTGGTGATGGTGGTGGTGATCATGGTGATGATGGTGGTGATGGTAATTGTGGTGATGGTGGTGATGGTGGTGATGGTGGTGATGGTGGTGATGGTGGTGGTGATGGTGGTGATGGTGGTGGTGATTATGGCGATGGTGGTGGTGATGGTGGTAATGGTGGTGTTGGTGGTGGTAATGATAGTGATTGATGATGGTGGTGATGGTGGTGGTGATGATGGTGATGGTGATGATGGTGATGGTAGTAATGATGGTGGTGATGGTGGTGGTGATGATGATGATGAAGGCCATAGCTACAAGTTACAATGTACCCACTACACTATGGAAACTCTTCTAAAGGTCCAACACCCACCACTTCATATAAACTTATAGCAACCTTGCAAGATAGGGACTATCATTAGCCTCCTTTTACAAATGAGGAAACCAAGGCACAGATCTGTAACTGGGCTCAGATCACACGGCTAATCTATGGCAAAAATCAGTACTGGCTTCAAAAGTCGCCTGACTTTATAGTTGGTGCCTTTAATCACTACACTCTGCTCAAGGGTGACTACTGGCCCTGTGCATGCAGTGAGTGTGTGCCAACTGTGTCCAGCTCTGCCCAGGCACTGGGTCACACCAGGGAACAAGATGGGCAAGGTTGCCTCCTTCACAGGGCTTACACCCAATACCAACAAGGAACAAACAAGAAAACATTGGGTAGTGATATTTGCTCTACACAGATTTAAAGCAAAGAGGGTGACAGGGTGACAACTTCAGAGTGCGTGCCCGGGAAAGTCCTCTCTGAGGAGGTGACATCATTTAAGCTGAGATCTGAATGGCAGAGAGACACTAGGATAGCGGGAAAGGGCATCTCAGGCAGAAAAACAGCCGTGCAACGCCCCTGTGGCCAGAACCAGCTGGTGTGTTTAAGGAATGAAGAGGACAGAGGAGAGAGTGCCTGCAAAGGCACCACCACATCTGTCATTTTTTCATCTGCACATTCTGCTTGGTACCTGAGTCCTCCAAGGGAGTCTGAGCCACCTGAATGACTAACAAGCAGAGTAATAAAGCTAACCAGTAGGACATGGGCAGCGTCCCCTGGCCTGTCCAAGGGCTCAGCCCATGGACATGAGGGCACAAGCCCTCCAGACCTCCTCCTTTCTCACCAG